ACCCGGACTATAAACCACAAAACGATGCTGGTACCTTGTTTAAAAAAACTAAAACACCTTGACATTACAGGGTTGTGGTTGGATGTAACGAACGTCAAAGAAGTTGACCTGTTAAACAGCACGTGGCGGCGAGAAGATGTTTTCTTCTTTCCCCGTCCAGACGAGCTTCAGAACGCTCAATCGATAATTCCAACAGCGGTTCAGCCGGAGTTCAGCCGTCGGGTGTTTTGGTTTAACTGGTGGCTTTTGGACGAATGCATCCTGGGTACCTCGTTGAAACGCGTCGGTTGCCATGGATGATGGACACAGACGGGCTTCTCCTTAAAGTGGACCACGGATCATTGTCGCCAGCTAACGCGCTCACTCTGTGAAGTTAATGTGACGAACTGGACTGGCTATGAAATGGTCTCATTGTGGCACAAATGCATCTATAGGACCAACAGAGAGAAGATGTTCTATTTCTATATATGTATTCTCAACGCTCGGCCTCAGGGCTGGGAAATCAGATGACATCTGCAGTAGAATGGCAGGTTTTTTACTCTGGTTCTGGGAAAAACACTTTGTAGAGACCAATAAAAAACGACACAAACTGAAAGTTCCTCTTAGCGTCTTTAAACCAAAACACCAACCCGAGCTGTAAAAAAAGCTCCACGCGATCTTTTGTCTTGTCTTGTAAATAGAGTCAGAAATCAGGCGTGGGGCCTTTTTGTACAACACAAGTTGGTCATTCGGCGCAGGACGGTCTTGCTTATGGTTCGTTGGTCTGAGGGCACGGAGCCCCGTGGTCCTCTCTCGTGTGTAATGATGCTGTGTGGTTCGGGGGTTTATGAGGAGGCGGTGGGACGAGACAGTGAGACACGTGCACTAAATCAAGCAAGATGCGAGAGGAGTGAAATCAAGTGCATGACGTGATGAAATAATATTCCCTGCTCAGATTCAGTAATCCTTAAATAACAAACATGCATTCCAATGTCAAAGGTCGCAGCGGCAGTTGACATTGCAATGCATGTTTTAACATGTTATTTTATTAGATGTATTGATCTAATTATTGAGTCAGCTTTTCTTTTCCTCGCTGGCTCACTTTCCTGACACTTGTGTGGTAATGAACGTCAGAATTTCCCAGAGCCAAAGGGGATGTTTTTCATTGCCGTTAAACATAAAAAAACAAAGATATTCAGAAAATCAATGTAGGAGAATTGTAAAATTTAAAAACAAAACAGCTGAGCTCTTTTACCTCCGGCAGAAAATTCTGTGCCATTCAAAACAATTCTCTCTAAAAACCCTTTTCTTTGTCATTACTCACATCACGTTATTAGCAAACCACAAATTATGAACCATTTATTCTTTTTTTTACCGTTTGGTACAACTGCTCAGTGGGCTTACAATAAGTCTTATAATCTAAAAGCCAAATGAAGACGTGGAAAGGTGAATGTTTGTGATTGAAAAATCAAGCTTTTTTGCAGCTTTAAATATCACATTGAGACAAAAAAAATATAGCAGGATAATTTGTTCTCATGCAAAAATCAAGAATATTTTTCCTCAAAGAAAAATGTTCTGCGGCACCGAATGAACGGACGCGACGACGACCCGTATCCACCTGATGCTGCCACCTGCCCCTCGCTGTACGCCGTGACCCAAGTTACCATGGAAACCCAATTGTGATAAGAAACATCACAACATTTCATGTACATTCTATTGGAGTGTGAATGCACATGTGACCGACCGGGGAACAGAAAGAATGGAGGAGCATATACAAATATAACATGATATATAAGGACTCAAGACGCACTGACGATAACTACACGTTATAGACACATTGCTCATACATTCATATATGTCAACACTTAAATATGTATATACAGTATACACGTTTGTACTCATATGTATACAGATATATCAAAGGAGGAATATATAGTGCCATTACTGAGACGAGCTACTTTCCGCTCTCCTCTCTAGTTCATGCTGACGAGGACGTTTGTTGGAATCTGAACCGCGGACGTCTTTTCTGAGCTCCGACTTTCTGCCTCAAATCTCCCAAACTCTCCCCGAGTAGCGACGTGTAGCTTTTTAAAACCTTTTAAGTTAAGCTTACAGAATAACGCCAAGTCCATAAAGGTACATATTTCAAACTACCGCCCGCTTATACGTAACGACTGCAGTCCTCATATTTAGTTGTGGTTACATTCTATATATCTGATGTGGGGGGGACGGGGGGGGGGGGGGGGGGGGTATTGACATATATTGCAATGCTTTAGTACAATACGAACAGATAACTGTGACTTGACCCCGCGTGTGCGTAACAAACACACACGCTGATGAGTGAGACGTGCGTGTGTATGTGTGTGTGTGGACCTGACAAACTGTGTTGATGGTGCCAACGGCCTCTAGTTTGAAAAACGCCACAGTGTGGTAAACGGGGGGGAAATCAGCTCCAAAAAAACCAACAAAATAGTTTGGCCTGTACGTGACGATAGAAAAACAGCGCTGAGGCCGGTGGTTAAGCTTCATACAATTGTTTTGTCAGTGGTTGAATGAAGGTACGTTGGTACGTTTTCACCTGATTACTTCCATAATCCAAAATGTTTGTTAGTTTTGTTGCCTTGAACTAACCAGTTGTTTCTCACCGTTAAGTGTGTTGCATTGTGGGACGTGAGATCAGAGGCCAGTGAGGTTTTCGGGGCACAAACATTTGAACTTTTGCTGACTGGACAAAATGAGCTGTGGGAAGACTTCGACCAGCAGGTCGGTGACTTTGTAACAACGGAGGTCAGACAAGTCTTGTGTAACGTTCAGGTACAGTGGTGGATGTAGGTGATCTGCATCTGCCTTCACAGCCTAAAACTCCCTTATGTACACGTATAAAACTATAAATGTAGAAGTACACTTAAGCATAGCGTGGCTCATTCACTAGCAAGGACCTCGCCACCAACGGAATGGGAATGTAAGTCGTACGGTGGGGTTTGGAATGCGTCGACGGGACGGGACGAGGGTTAGGGACGTATCCACAGGGGATACCGGAATAGGCGTGTTGGAGGCGTGGTCCTGCTCCAGAAATTACGCCAATTAGCTTTAATTAAAATTGTTCTGTCGGTCTGTTATAACAAACAACAGGACTGAACCTCTTCTTTGCATCCAGAGAACAGAAGATGAAATTCTAATAACTTTTAAATGATAATACATTTCAAATGCCACTTTGGAAATGAAATGCTGTTAATTAGCTCAATTGAAGCTTATTTTCAAGAGGAAATGTAGTTGCCAAAATTCAGATTTGTCTTGTGTTTAAGCTGATAGAGCTCAATGACACTTTTGACTCTGAACATTCCGTCACATCGGCGGCTCGTTATTTTTTGTCAGCTTCGACCTTTGAGGTCGCTGCCACCGTCAAACTGAAGGACGCTGAGCGGACCGCCACGCGGATTTCTGATTTTTTTATGGATTGAGACGGAAAACCAAATTCTGGGGGGGCAGTTTTTCTTCAGTTTTCATGGAATGTTATGGGATTCACATTTTACCCCCTGGCTTGTTTCGCCTGCGTCATGTCTGGCCGTCCACAATTTTCCAAAGAGCTTTACTTGGAATCACCCCCCTCGCCGACTTTCCCGGCAGTGGAAAACTATGGAATGCTTGTGCTATAATCTTCTATTTGAGGAAATCTTAAAAATCCGGGCAAAGTTTTCACCATCTGGGGGGAATTGAAGGAATGCTTTAAGGTACGTCTGCACATCTGTGTGGTGGGGGGGGGGGGGT